GGACCTGATTCCTCTCGATAAATGTTGTGCTGAGCGCGGCGTCCTGTAATTAGCAACCATTCAATGAATATGAAGATACTAAAAATCATAATCTTACCATGTCCTGATCCAGAATCAATAACTTTCCACGTTGTTCCGTCTTTCGATTGTTAGATGTCTCCGATTGAAATAGTTTTTTCTTGTTGACCTCTTTTTCTCTTGTGAATTGGCTTAGATGCACTTGGATTCACGATAAAATTAGCTGACTCGTGCTGTTGAGTTGTAGAAGCAGTGTTTACATAAATTGGTGAGTCTTGTACAATAAAACTTTCTAACTGCTCTGAAGTATCATAGTCACTTAAATCATTATTTTGTGGTGGTACGTATTAATCATCGTCTGACTCATTATTTGCTGCAAATTCAGATTCACCTCCCGAAACATCTGCTTGTATTTTTCGTCTTTCTTCAAGAAGTTCAAGCTCTGATAGTCCACGACGCGACATCTTTAGAGTCGTCTTGAATTTTCACAATTGAACGAATGTTTCAATATTCTAGAAACGAGAGTCAGCAGAACCTAATAAACCGCTCAATAAACAAAATACTTTCAAGTAATAAACAGTATGTAACAAAATACGTTCTAGGAATAAACGTACATAAACATTATTTTATCTATCCGACAGAAAGTTAAAAGAAATCGTCAAATTTCCGAGAAAACGATAATAATTAATACAGGGCCAGTTTTTCCCCTTCAGACTTCTATGGTAGATTTGTTAGAAAATCCATTTATTAAATTTAGTAAATAATATTTTTTGATAAATAAGACTTTGTATCAAAATATTAAAAGTCATAAAATATGAAATTATTATTGTGTCAAATAAAAGAACTGCAATAACTTCAAATCGCAACAGGGGCCAAATTGGCCCCTCCGAATTTCTAGTGTTAAATGTATAATGGTTTATGTAGGTTATTTTCTCTTTTTGTTCATTTAGATCTATTTAATTTTTATTTTATTTAAATGAGTTTTTATTGTCATTTGAATATAGTTCTGTAGTATTTAACTATTTTTCTATTAATATACGGTCTCAACATCAATTATATTATAGTTCAATAACGAGTTTCATTTTTCTTGTTAATTAGTTAAATTAATAACAAATGACGTAGGTAACTAGTTTAGTACCTGATAACAAAACCAAGTATAATGTATTTTAATAATGTAGTAGTCATACAGGGTGATTAATGAAGAATAGAATATCTGTTAGAATAATGCTAAAGTCATAATAATAAAGGGAACTCCCCGTTAAGGCAGGCAAGATGCCCTCACTCTGAAAATTGTTCTGAAGCTATGTTCTTGTGGCATTTTAAATTAATAACTATTTAACTAGGAATAAGCCACAATTAAATATAAATAAAATACGTTTCTTGACGTTTCAATTTCCACTTCGGAAATCGTTCTCAAAATACAAACAGTAAATCAAACAAATTTTGTTTTTTGTTACATTGTGAAAAATTCTTCTAATAATTTATTTTTTTCTGACTCATTTATATTGACAATTCAGACATATATTATGCATTTTAAAGTAGACGACTTTAAAATGATATTGTCAATATTGTTGAGTTGCGCTCCTGGGAAGACTTTACTTATAAGATCATTCGATTACATGAAATCAACTTTAACTTGAGAATATCCGTCAGAAAAAAATCATAGCATGTAATTCGTCTTTAAAAAGACAAACACATAACATGATGATAGTAAAATTCTCCTGTTAGTGATTCCATAGTAAATTATGAGGGAAAAACCAGGAAAAAAAAACTTCATAATACTATCCCGACATGGTAAGTATTTGGTAGTGCATTTAGTTTACCTTCAATAAACACCAAAATTCTGATTTTATGTTTCGTTATTTAAAAAACATAAATGATGTATCCTCTATATGTTACTGACTTAATAATACTGGTATTTTCTTATTAAAAACTTCCTTTTTCAATATTGGTAATCAGATTTGAGATCTATTAAAAATATGTAAACACGCATGGGATAATGAACATAGGGTTCAATGGAATAATTCAAATGTAGTCCTAAAAGAAACGGATGGTAAAAAAAGAAAAATAAATTAGACCAATTGTGTCGCAAATTCCTCAGCAGAATGTAGTAGGATCTGGTTACCTATATTGAAAAAGGAAGTTATTAATAAGAAAATACCAGTATTAGTAAGTCAGTACCATACAGAGGATACATCATTTATGTTTTTTTAAATAACGAAACATATAAAATCAGAATTTTGGTGTTTATTGAAGGTAAACTAAATGCGCGAACAAACACTTACCATGTCGGGATAGTATTATGAGGTTTTTTCCTGGTTTTTCTCTCATAATTTACTATGGAATCACTAACAGAAGAATTTTACTGTCATCATGTCATGTGTTTGTCTTTTTAAAGACGAATTACATGCTATGATTTTTTTCTGACGGATATTCTCAAGCTAAAGTTGATTTCATGTAATCGAATGAACTGTCTTTTGAGTAAAGTCGTCCCAGAAGCGCAACTCAACAATATTGGCAATATCATTTTAAACTCGTCTACTTTAAAATGCATAATGTATAATTGTCAATATAAATGAGTCAGATAAAATTAAATTATTAGAAGAATTGTTCACTATGTAACAAAAAACAAAATTTGTTTAATTTACTGTTTGTATTTTGAGAACGATTTCCGAAGTAGAAATTGAAACGTCAATAAACGTATTTTTATCTTTAATTGTGGCTTATTCCCAATTAAATAGTAATTAACTCACTCTAAAAGTTCAGATTTTCCAATTTTTTACGTTCTATGTGATTAAAAAATAAGTTTAAGCGCTATTTAGCCCGCCACAGAATTTTGACCAAGCAACGTTAGGCCATAAGTACCCTATATGCCACCATGGGGGATGGAACTCGAAAGATTGTGTATTTATATAGAGCACAATTTTATTAATTAAATCTTGTTCAAGTACTTTCGCTTCCTAAACCATCTTCAAGGGCATCTGAAATAAGCCAAGAAACATTTTTTTCACTGAAGAAATTAATTAACTTCGATAAAAACTGGAAGTTGATGGTTGGTAAAAGTTTTTATGTGATTAACGTTTTAGACTTAATTCATTAAGTTTGGCCTATCCAACAATTATATTATGTCATAAACATTCTCAACAAGCCTCTCAAGCAAATTGCTTTCAACAATGGTTATGATCACACATTATCCATAAGCTTCTAAATAGAGCTAAACTCAAAATTGCAGAAAAGCTTGCATATTCATCACAATGTTTTCTTTAACCTAACGCTTTAAATAACATTAGATATTTCTCCTTTTATAAATATAAAATATAAAGTTTTTTCGTAAAACTTGAGGTCGCTGGCTAAATGATTAAAATAATAATACAAAAAATGCAAGATTTTACACTATACCAGTGGAAGAGAAAGTGCAAAGGAATGGACATTGACCTGGGAGAAACTTGCCTATATACCCTACAGTTTGCAGACGATTAAGTCCTTATAGCCAACGGTAAAAAAGACCTGACATATATGGCCAGAAAACTACAGGAAGAATACAAAAAGTGGGGTTTAGAACTCAATACACGAAAAACAAAATATCTCCCAATAGGCGCAGAACTATCTAACATTCAGATGGACACAACCGAAATTCCATTCTGCACTGAATATACCTACCTAGGAATTGATTTCGACACCACAGGCATAGACAATAGGGAAATTACAAAACTAATAACCCAGGTCCGTAGAACCATTGGATGCCTTAACGGAGTTCTTTGGAGCTCAGAAATTGGTAAAAGACGAAAATACAATATCTATAACTCTCTTATAAAAACCAGCTTAACCTATAGAACAGAGACATGGAGACTAACAGAAAGCAATAAAAGAAAACTCGAAGCAACAGAAATGGATGTATTTAGACGATCACTTCGAATATCTAGGGCAGACAGAATTAGAAACGATAAAATAAGAAATCGGTTGGGGGTAGATGGATCACTGGCAACAGACATAGAAGGGAAACAACTTATATGGCATGGCCATGTTCAAAGAATGCCAGAAACAAGACTACCAAAAATCGCCATGAAATTGATACCACCAAATCGTAAGAAACGAGGAAGACCAAAAAGAACATGGAAGGAGGGAATAACAAAGGCAATGAGCTCCCAAAACTTGACCGAAGAACAATGGAATGATAGAAATTTGTGGAAATTAGGCATCGGACAACGACGCAAGACGTTTTTGAAACCTATATATATATATATATATATATATATATATATATATATATATATATATATAAATTATCAGTTCATGTATAAATAAATACCTGGCTTAACTCATTGCTGTTATCTGTACAAAAAAATATTTTGCACACGCAGTATACTTATCTTTTAAATATGGTGTATTAATTGTAGCAAGTGGTAGAAGAGTAGCATCTACGAGCCTCGATGCAAGTGACGCATACGTCCTGGTCAAACTAGAGGAGATGTTCACATCGCGATGTCTCAATTTAAAGTGGGCTGAGATAAGCCTATCTGACCATCCTTCTTAGGTGGTACGTAGATTAGTGTGTAAGTTGGGGCTTTTAATGGGCTTTTACAAGACGATCATTTAACTAAATGGTTAATAGAAATTTGATACTTTGTAGCGTGTTCTGTGTTTTTAAGGAATACCAAAGACAAGTGAATTTCTTTGAACTTAAAAACAAATTACCATGTGTTAGCCAGTTAAACAATGAGAATTTACTGAATAGAAGAAAACTGTAATCTTTTAAAGTAAATAAGTAGTTGGAATATGTCATAAAACAAAATCATATTATATTACAGTAAGAAAATATGTGAAATATGTAAAATATGAAAATAAATACTAAATACTTTTTTAAATATAAGGAGATTTCAATTAAAATTACGGTAGCTACATTTTCATTAAATAAATCCGTTAGTATAAATTACACTCCTGTCATTAACAATATATTTTATACTGGTTCTTTTTTGTTTTAGGAGTCTGCACATCACAGGATGTGGACATATTCTTCTCGCATATGAACAATGCCAGATATATTCGAGAATTAGACTTTGCAAGATTTCATTTTTACTTTGTAACAGGGTTATATGACCAAATAAAAAAGAATAAGGGGCACGTTTTACAGACAGCTTCAAACATTCGGTACAGAAGAACAATTCCTTGGTTCAATACTTACAAAGTTACTACAAAAGTAAGTATTTTCATAAAAAGTTTACATTCATTGAAACACTTTTTTGTTTAGATGGATTTTTTTATTTTATTTTACGCTAATGTTGTTTACAAACGTACTTGACAGGTCTATTAATTTCAGAGATTTATAATTCAAAACTATATTAAATTTTCCAATTTTGTATTTGCATATCCCTTTGATTATTTGTCCTTTATTTAAGAATTAACCAAAGGATATTTTTTCTGAGGTTTATAAATTATGTTTAAAGTTTCACAGTTGAAACTAGAATACAATGCAGCAAGTTTGAAGGAAACTGTAAAAACAATTACTATTATAAATACTGTCGGTTCCAGCTTCACCCTCTGAGAACAGTAACTGACGATAAAACAGACGTCAGGTGAAACCTATTCAAATAGCAAGAAGATCTTGAATTTGCGGATGACATTTACCTACTAACTTAACACCGAAGTCATTGCAAACAAAAACTGATACGTTGGCACAGTACTCGGACACGATTGGCCTCCAAATAAACACAGATAAAACCAAACTCTTAAATTAAAAAATAATTGCCACTCAAATAATGAAATAATGATAAACGGTAAGGAAGTTGTAGAGATAGCTAACTTCACATATTTGGAAGCGGTCATGAAAAGAAACGGGGGCTGTGAAAAGATATACAGACGAGAATAATAAAGGCTCAACATTTATTTATTTAAAGTAAATATATAGACAAAAGATGTTGCAAATAAATAATGGTAATGATAAAGAAAGATAACGGGGAAAACAAATTAGTAAAGAAAATTAGCCGAAGGAACAAAAGAGAGCTTTTAGAAAGTCAACTTCAAAATATGGAAGAAAATACTAAAGGAAGGATATAAAATAGTTTTACAAAGATGTTAAAGAAATAAGCAGAGATTACAATTCAAGAACGACATAAATTAACGACAAAGAAATTAATCTGATAGAAAATGAACAACAATTGAAGAGATGAAAACAGTCTTTCGAAAAACACCTAAACGGTAAAATAGAGGAGAAAAACGACAGTGAACGAGAAACAATACCAGTGAATGGAACAGACATTACAAGACCAAATAACTATGAGGTTAAGGGAGAAAACGGGATGGAAGCAGAAAACTTAAAATATGGAGGAGACTACCCGAGAAAAAAAATCTACAAACTAATGTCATATCTGGGAAGAGGAAATAATATCAAAATAGTGGTGCAAGTGTATAGTATATACAAAATACATAAGAAGGGAGACCTGACAAGTTGTGATAGTTTTGGGGGAATAGCACTCCTGGACTTCATATACAAAGTACTGGCAACCATACTAAAAATAAAAATAAAAGTGTACACAGAAAATATATTGGGCGACTATCAAGCTGGTTTTAGAAAAAATCAATTAACTAGTGACCATGTTTTTATGCTGAAATTAGTTCCCTCTGGTGCATATGAATACTACATACCAACCCACCTTCTCTTTGTGGATTTTCAGTGTGCTTATGACAATGTAGGTAGATCTAAACTGATCAAGGCACTACAGGAGTTCAAAATCCCATCTTAGATAATCAGACTGGTACATATAACGCTTCAGAACAATACATGTATAGTTAAGAATAATGGAAAGCAGAGCCAATACTTTAGAGTTTAAAAAGGTGTAAGAGAAGGAGATCCTTTATCTACCAAGGTGTTTAATGTGACCCTTGGAAAGATAATAAGAGGCAGCAATCTGTATAGAGCGAGAAGAATATTTATTAAGAGTCACCAGTATTTAGCCTATGCTAATGATGTTATATTTTGGCTAGGAGTAGAAAAGAATTAGAAAAAATAGGTAAGAATCTTCTAGAAGTCGCAAAAAATATGTGATTACAGATAAATATAAATAAAACAAAATTATGGAGCAAAAAAATAAGCAAAGGAAAGACAGAAAACTAAATATGGAAATTGCATTAGGGAGAAAACTTCTGGAAATTGAAGAGGTGGAGGATTACATGTATATGGGAGTTCTTGTGTCAAATAAATGCGAAGAAGAAAAGGAAATGGATCTACGAACAGCAAAAAGAAACAGGTGTGCAGGCAATTTGTTAAGAATAATAAAATTCAAACAGGTATTGAGAAATACAAAAGTAAGGTTGTATAAAACTATCCTGCGATCTATTCTAACGTATGGGTACGAGGAATGGGTATTAATAAAGAAACTACAACAGAAAGCCGAAATATGGAAATAAGGAATAATAAGAATTTTTGTAGGAAAGTTGACAGAAATGCAATGGGATCAAAGAAGAAAGGCTAAAATTTATAAAATGTTCGGCGAAGGCAGAATAAGCGGTTTTTTCAAAGCTAGAAGATTGCAGGGGTTAGATCATCTTGTTAAAATGGAGGACAGTGGAGGGATAAAGAACATAGCATGTAGAATACTGAAAGATAAAAGCAAAAGAGGCAGACCGGGGGAAAGATGTAGGAAAGCAGTTGCGGAAGATCTACAAAAAAATAAGAAAATTGGAGGAAAAAATCTAAAGATAGAAGGATATGGAAGAGAATTACTAAGCTATGGGCATGAAACGGCCTGCTACAAGCTTTTTTATATATATTCATTCAACGATTTAAATAAAAATTTGCAAGCAAACGAAAGATTAAAAACAACAAAAGGTAAAATCTGTAATGGTTGCCTACTATTAGTTTGCGGAGCGGAAATCTGTCTACGACAGATAAAAACAATGGGAATGGGTTAGCCATATTTTAAAGGAAAATAAAAGCAACATAACCAGAGGGAGATAAAAGAGATAAAGACCGAGCAATAAATGGAAAAAAACACATACAACGAGAAAACGCGAAAACATTGGAATAAGAAGGGAGAAAAAACATAGCACGAAATGGAGGAAAATTGAGGAACTAATATACAGTTTATCCAGAGAGTAAACAAGAAAGAAAATGTACTGACCCGGATAGTCAACAATCTTGCACTTTTGTCCAAGAAAGCGCCCAATAATCCACAGGGAGGGATGAAACTAGACCGAAAGACAAGGTCGAGAACAATTCAACGGGAATTTTATCTGAACCCAATTTCTTACTTGGTTTTCGATTCTGTATGGTATGCCTAACATCTGATGGTAAATTTTGTAGTTATTGTTCTTTTTTATTCATTATGTTGATCATTTTCTCTCGTTATCAAATAGTTGTGTAATAGTTCCTAAACTTTCAATATTCTATTCTTTTGTGTAATAATTTCTCGATTTTTATCTCATGTGATAAATGATTTTCTTTGACTGTTGTTTTTTGGATGTTTTATGTAGGTTTTAGGTGGCACGTTTGTTGCTGAGTTTTTTCTAGTTTTGGGCACTCCTGTTCCGTCAATATTTTTCTTAACCTCTCTTATTTCATATTTTATTATATTTAAGTGTTTTACAAATTTCCATCTTTATTTTTATGTTTTATTTTTTATTACTATAATTTAATTTTTTTAAAAACCTTAATATATTCAAAACATAACAATAAACTAATTCTAAACAATAAATTTAAATTTTAGATTGTTTACTGGGATGAAAAAACAATGTACATTGAACAACAATTCGTTACTTTACACGACAATTTCATCAGGGCTGTAATCCTTAGCAAGCAAACGACAATTGGTTTGAATGTGCCAGAGCTTATGGCAAAACTGACTGGTTGTAATGTTAGTTATAGACCACCCCTTCCTGAAGAATTAAAAGATTGGTTGTCGTCCATAGAAAAGAGTAGTAATAAATTGAGGAAAAAAGAATAAGAGATTTATTAATAATTCTTGTTAATAAATTAGGTTTAATGTTTTTTAATAAATTATAATATTTATTTTATAATTGTCTTTGTATTACTAACTATAGTTAACCCCATACTGGATCTGGCAGCCAGTATGGGGTTGTTAGTCCCAACTGGAGGACTCCACGGTGGATAAAGTAAGCTCTTAGTAATGTTACCTGACTAACTCATAACTGAACAGTGGGTTTCTTTAAACACACTTTATGTTATATAGCTAACTACAGCTGTATAGATTTTATACTATTCTTAGACTTTCATAGTGACACTTTTAAACCAAATTTATAGTTCAGGCATATCACCCAAAGAGTAGTTAATGTAGATTTTTATTTGTCTCTTTAAAAATAAAAATGCAAGGAAATGCAGCGATTGTCGCATATGACACATTATAATGACACATAATTTGGTTTTCGCAAATTCCTAGAAACGCGTGAAGCTCTTTTTTCACTTAATATACTGATACGAAGATGCCTGGACGTCAATCAAGATATATACGCATGTTTTATTGAGTTAAATAAAGCATTCAATAAAGTAGGACATAACGACCTCAGGATCAAATGAAATTTATACTATAAACAGAGAAGAAAAGTACGTGTTAACAAACAGCTGTCAAAAGAAATAGAAATTAGACGTGGAGCCAATTCTTTTTATTGCCAACTCCGAAGTGATCATAAAAAAATTTGAGGGTGAAACAGCTGGAATAAAGGTAAATAAAGTTCAATTAATAATATTAGACATGCGGACGACACTGTGATATTGACCGAAAATATTAAAGATCTTTAGAGACTAGTGACCAGAATAACAAAGTACGAAAAAGAGTAACTCTAACTCTAACAATGAACTTCAAGATGAAGAAATTTATGGTAATATCGAAAACCCAAAGAAATAATGAGAATCTTCTAATAAACCGAACCAACTTCCAACAAGTAGACAGATATGTATATCTAGGAACAATAAATAACTCCACAAATGATTACATTCAAGAGATCAAACTTAGAATCGAAAAGGCTAGAGCAAATTAAAAAAAAAAAATTAGAAGATGCTATGTACAAGGGATTTAAAATTGGAACTAAGAATTAGGTAGGCGAAGTGCTATGTTTTTTCGACTTTGTTTTATGAAATGGAATCTTGGACCACAAATGCGACATTTATAAAAAATTGGAATCATGACAGCTGTGGGGGTATAGAAGAATTCTGAAAATATCGTGGACAGAACACGTCACAAACAAAGAGGTTCTAAGAAGGATGAATAAAGTAACATAAATTTTAAATACAACTAAAACAAGAAAATTAGAATATCTCGGACATATTACACGTGGAGAGAAATGCACCTTGCTCCAACTGATTAGGGGAGAGTCACCTAAGTTGGGACAATTTTTTTTATAACAAATACTTGAAAAACTATAGATATTAAAAAAAGTTGAGGTAATAAAATAAAACTTTTTTCTAATTATTAACACATTTTAGATATAAACTAAATTAAAAATAAAAAATATGCTTCGTTTTTTGTTACTAAAAAGAAAAAGTATGAATGTCCCATCACGAGAAACCGAAATCCTAAGATGGTCCGTTGGGTTTCTCAAAAAGGGACATTACTCTATACAACTTCCACAAATAAAATAGAGATCATCCATTACTCCACAAGACTCATGAGCCCAAATTGAACATATTTTGCCGTTGTACCAGTCTTCACTACTCTCTGCGTACTTCTTTCCACATACAATGCAGTTTGAATTATCATTAGTTGAATTGACGACTGTGATATTGCTAATATTTGCATTTCGAGCGCTGTGGTCCATAACTACAGTTCGTTTCACAGATTTAACCTTGTTAGTAAGGATTGTGGATTGCAACGTCTCTAATTCATTTTTATACGGCGATTCTGTGAGTATCGAGTCTTACCTTTCTTTTTCTGTGCCTTTGGTACCGTACTAATATCAGTCACTTTTACCTTGGATGTCGAAAATTGGATAGGAATGATTTGGCTTCTCTGTATCGGTCTGTTATCTTCGGAATCGCCATCTTTAGGTGACATTAAAACATATAAGCAACGTATAAGCAATCATTACGGGTAATTTATTGACCTGTGATGTAGTTTCATTGTCCACTGATTGTTTCGTCGTTTTAGAGGGAGCGAATTTGCAGTCTTGAAATACGTCTTCGTTAAAAGGCCAAATTCCGGTTACTCAAAATCCATTTGTCGCAATTTGTACAGAACATGCTTTTGAGAATGCTTCTGCAACAGCCCCTGAGATTTGATATATTTCAAATGTACGACCACAATGATTTGTTAGCCATCTAGTAAGGTACAAATCATAATAATAAAATATACCATTCTTGCGACAGAAGTGTATAACATCTAAACTTTTTGTATGTGAACAATGGCCGTTCCAAAATAATAAGAATTTTGCACTCCTTTGAAGGTCTGGTTTGTTGTGCAAAATATTTTATGAATTTAAAAAAAAAACATCACGATCTATCCATCCTTTGTCCTGTGGAAATGCCAGATTACCGTTAGGTGCATTGTCCATCAGCTCTGGTTTTATTTTTTTTCTGGGAAATATAAAAGCAGGCGCAAGAAAATTGCCACTTGCACTCATAGCAGCTACTATAGTGACATTAACTCCTCTTTCGACACTTGTTAAACCTTCCACTTGCTTTTTACCCCTCTGAGCAAGAACTTTAGATAATTTTTGGACGGTGGTCACTCCGGTCTCATCAATATTTCAAATTCTATCTGGAGTGAGGTGATTTTTATTATAAATACTTTCCAGGTTGTTGAAAAAACTTTGGACTGTATTTTTCTTGAATCCTGTAGCTCTAGCGTATGAGGTTGCTTCTGGTTTCCTTAGAGAAATATTTCTATGTCGACTTAAAAATCCATAAACCCACTTTTTAGAGGCTATTCGAGTATCATTATTAAATTTGTTAGCAATATTATTGGCTTAGGCAAAGTCAAATGCCAGACAACGAAGTTTTTTTATAAGTGATTCCAAAAAATCGCTTTTCCATTTCAAGAATATGATCTAAAATTTCGTGTTCCTGTTCAACTAAGAATATTTGCCTAAACCGACCAAAATATTTGTCATTTTCGGTCACGATTTTATTTTTGTTTGTAACTTGTCTTTGAAGAGTACTTTTAGGAATATTATATCTGTCGAAGCGATCGTTCGTTATTCCTAACATTTTGTACAGCTAGAATCAGTTTGTACAGTTTGAACGGACCAGTTTCCACGATCAGTTTTTCTTTTGTAATAGGAATTTGGATTTATATTTGGCAGCTGTAAAAGAAAAATATATCAGTGCCACTTACGAGATATAGAGTTCACTGAATAAAACATTTTTTAATGACACATTATCTTTACTTAGCTATAATCAAGGTTAGAATATTATGACCTCCTTGGGTATAATCTAATTACTGAACCCTTACTTATAAATGTTTTTAGAATGAATTACCGTTATATGTAAGAATATATAAGTAATTAATGATTTAATTAGTTAAAAGTAGGCAGGTATAAGAAGAATATCTGTAGCCATATTTGAGTTCCTAAGATGGGACGTCCCGACTTAGGAAGTTTAACTTTGTCCCATCTTAAGAGATTTGCACCCATTTTGTAAAAATCTTAACCGGTATTAAACAAAAGCTTTAGTGGCAAATACTTTACAGTGAAATGCAATGACTATAAACTTTGTTATTGACTAATAACGTTAAGTTTCACAGATACTTACCATTAACGCTATATTCACTATAATGTTGTACGTAAATAAATTTAAAAAAATATGTAAACATTAACAACTTGTTCTGACGAACAATACCGGTATGCTAGCCTCGTGTCGTTTACGTAACAATACGACTGAATGGCGAGCTTTCATTCTTCCAGTGCAGGTGTTGCCACTTGTTACAGATTTTCTAGAATTGCTAGTGTCCCTATTTGGAACCGTTCCGTCTTAGGTAACTCGCCCCTATCTAGGGAAAGATCCAAGGAAAGACAAGCATAAGAAGGTCTAGAATGTCATGGCTGCGCAACATGAGAGATTGGTAAGGATTTACATCAAATGAACTTTTTAGAGCAGCCGTCTCAAAAGTCCAAATAGCTATGATGATTGCCGACCTCCGCCGCTTAGATGGCACTTGCAGAAAAAGAATACTTTTATACTACATTTTTGTGTCAATTGATACTGTGTTGTATACATGGACGTATAAATAAAGATGGACTAGGCATGATCTGCACTCTGTTCACCTAAATTTGAAGTCGAAAAGTTTGTAGGCGCGGGGAAAGAGACGAGGTGATAGACTGTGACTTACCCTTTTAAGCCAGCGGCGTACCTTTCAATATTTGAAAGTTATTTGAAACAGTTTTTCCACTTGAATAAATATTGACTATTGGTTTGATTGCTTTTATTTTTAGTATCGTAAACATATGAAATATTTTGAATAAGTGAGAAACAACAAACGGTGAATAATTTTAATTTTCAGTGTATAGAAATATATTTATAAAAATTAATTTACACAAAAGAATAAAGATGGAGTAAATAAAATCGTAAATTACTTTATATAATATTTTATTTAAACTAAAATAACACACAAACAATAAAAAGTTTAAAAAATTCTTCCCCACACATTAACCTGTTCAGGGTATTGAGTATGTTCTTCTCTTATCCAGTTAGTGATAAGTTAAAAAAATATAGTAAATTATGGTATATAAATCCAGCTTAATTGTTAATTGGCAACATTAGTATGTCACCTTAAACATAGCAGTAAACAGAAGAAAGATAAAAATTCAGAAATATGTATTTAAGAAAATATTAATAAACGTAATAAAACCATAAACCATTGTTTAACAACACATAAACAACAAACCACATATACAACAATATATAAAACACATTAAACCTTATGGAACGGGTAGGGTTCAAAAATAGAAATAGCTTTATTCTCACTTAAAATTATACAATTTCATGGACAAAGCTTACAAAAATTAAAAAAAACAACAATAACAATTAAAATTTAGTAAAATTACAAAAATCGTCAATATCACA